GGAAACACTTTTTTGTCTAGTGTCGTCTAGTAAATCTCTCATCAGCCACTAGATGGCTAATCATCAGGTTTCTCTGAAATCTTGTCTATTTTGACTATTTTCTCGATAATGCTTTCATACTTGTTTTATAGTATATATGCAAGTTTTTAAGAACCTTCAAACCGTACTTGTAGCGACACAGTGTATGAGCTACTGTCGAGTACGCAGACGACGTCGCGATATGTAACCATATTTTCCTAGAGTACCACATATAGCAACACTGTGTCAGGCTACAAGTATGCGACGTCGTCGACTAGTGTCAGTGCCAGCAGCCGCGGATATCACAATTATAATGGTTACATATATTGGAATGATACTGACTGAGAAGAGTGGCGAAGCCGACGCTTAACGTCTTCGATGAAGTAAAAAGCGTTCCACATTTTTTTTTTTTTTTATTTATTTATTTATTTATTTATTTATGAGACTGTTCTTTTCAGAACTGCATCAAATAAATCGTTTTAACCTAATTTCCCTTATATTTTTATAAATTATATGAAGTAAAAATCGTTCCACATTTTTTTAAATAAAAAATTTATGAAACTGTTCTTTTCTCTCTCAGAACTGTATCAAAGAAATCATTTTAACCTAATTTCCCTTATATTTTTGTAAATTATATACACAAAGTTGGAAAATAACGCGAATTACATTAATTTCAACATTACAACATTACAAGTCATTTTGATACATGTCGCGACATCTTACAAATCAACAAAAAATAATCTTGTATACCTATAGATGTTATCTTCAATTAATCAAGTTAAGTTTTATTAACGAATTACCAATAATTGATATTATCAAACATAATACTGTTTTAGATATTATCGACAGTCGAATAACCATCATTTATATATTTTAAATATACGAAATAAAATAACAGAAGCATAATTTTTCTACAGTATATCGAATATTGTGCAAAATGGAAAATAAATTTTAACAATTATAATATTATAAAATAAGTAATAAAAACTCTGGGGACCTGGTGATCGATCGGTAACCGATCACCCCGTTTTACCGACAGCTCGCGCACGCGCGTCCCATCCGTTATCCGAGCGGGGCACTCCGGGGGCAGTGAGGCGAATCTGCAATCTGCCCATCTATACGCTCTTATTACTGTGCTCTTGGCAGACGCGATCGTCGGGGGTGCGAGGTGCGAGCGAGCTCAAAATCTCCGCGAGGCCAATGTCGTGTAAGGCCGTCGGTTTCCCCGACTTACGTTCTCGCCGGCGTTTCATGAGCCTCGACGGGACACGTGCGAACGCGCGACATCACTGCCGGCGATCAGCGACCAGCGATCGCATGCATCCGCGTCAACGACGTTACGACGAACGCGTCTCACCTCTACGATCTATGCCCGACCGCGGGAAGGACGCCGCTGTTGCCCGATCGCAGATGCGCACGTCGACGACGATCTCGTCCGCACCGGTGAGTACGCGAGCCACCCCGAGATCGCGAGGTCCTGTTACTCCGATTTTCGTGGCATCGCGACGAGGAGAAGGCACCCTTCGACGACTTTCCATTGTCATTCCATCCAATGATCACTCTCGTCGTCTCGTCTCGTCTCGTCTGGCTTTGCTACGAAGTTCTGGAAGTCTCGCCGAGATTATCTCCTTGCTCTTTTTAAGCCAGTTATTATCGCTAGAAAACTTATACAGTTTGTTCAGCTTCCGAACGTGCACAAGTATGTACGTGTTTTAATTTGAGAGCTCGCGTATGCTCCAAGTGCGATAGAGGCAAAAAGGGAAAGTTTTGTCTGATTAATCTTTTTATTTGTTTAACCGTTTAACGCGAGCTCAGACATCTTCGAATTTCGTCAGACTCTGAGATAACTGGTGGAAAAATAGTAGCTGATTCTGTTCCTTCATATCGCGTCGCTTTGTTTCACGTCTGTATCTGAATTTATCAGAGCTTGTCGTTTGTCCTATTTTCTGTGTTATATAATAGATTCCAGCTCTGCCAAAATTCATTTGGTAGATTCTTTGGTGAATATTCTTTTGTACTGATATTTTATATTGAGTGTGGCATTGACGGGTTTTTTAAATTTATACTGTTCAAAACGAAAGAACCTGACGAGCAAAACTTTCGAAATCTGATATTCTTTACAGATTTAGTGTTTATCGTTTATTTGACATTAATTTTATTATATATTCGATATTAATCTTATTAATTTTCCTTTTGCAGTAGCCATGGTTGAGATACCGAAGGATTGTGTCCTGCAGTGGGCCGGCCACGCGGGATATATTACAGAAAGATTCAGTGGTCTTTTGGCACGTCAGGCCCTAGTCGATGTCACATTGATCTGCGATGAACAAAAGCTACGTGTTCACAAGCTGGTTTTAGCTTCAAATAGTATATACTTTGAGGTACGTATACAAATGTTAGGATACATATTCCCTACATCCTTTTGTTACTTGCTAATCATATCAAGTTATATATGTATGTTTTGAAAATTGTGTTTGTACATTTATATGTTGTTTTAATCATTTGTACATTTAAATCTTAGTGCCTGTTTTTCTAGAAATATATGTAGGTACATTTTTGTATACATGCATTTTATATTAAAGTGATAGATTTTTCATGTGTATAATAAATGTGTGTTTGTGAATATTGCAAGTATTATCGTACATTAAATTCAAGACTTGCGTTACATTTAATAATTGCAAAAGTGTTTACAAAATACTTACGTGCTCTGATCAAAGGTCATGTTTTGCCATTTTCTCATATGACATCAAACATTATTTTCGAATTTATACAAAAGACAATAAGATATTTCTTCGATTATTCCAAATGTTTTATGAAATATTATATTAATGAGAAGTTGTATTAAATAAATAGGATTATAATTTTATAAAGATAGAAATTAGAGATAAGAGACCTACATTTTACAAGAACGATGATGTTAATTGGTTATATACAGAGTTATACTTATTTATACTTATATTTATACTTATTCTTTTATATTTACTTATTACAGAAAATTATTTTAAATTAAATTTATTAAGATATCGATGTTGATTAATGTTTGGATGTGCATCTCTTTTCCTTTCAGATCTACTGATGACTGAGCAGTGTTATTAACATTTTATTGAATGAGCTTTCAAAGATGTCTTATTCTTTCTTAATTATTTGACATTATTTAACTATAGAATTATTTATTGATTAAAAGGACATTTAATTGTTTGCTCATTTAAGTAAAGTAATGGTAATTTGGAATTATATTTTTATGATCCGTATTTATTGGTTTTAGTGTAATGAACAAAATTTCTCGTACGTCATTTTTAAGAATACAAGGGAAGTTCCATACATACCATTATTATATACCAAAGAGAGATTTTATTGTAATATATGTAGGATTTAAGTATATACAATTACAAATGTGCTATATACGTACTAGTTCAAAGCCAAACATATTTTTTTACTAACCCATTTTTCACTAGAATGTCTACCAAACATCATTTTACATTTATAAAAAAAAGACTTTGGACTTTTTTTATTTGATATATAAACAGTGATGTAGAGAAGAAAGGTATTCTTATTATATTTACTTCAAAATTGGGAAATATAGTGTACTTATAGTCGAACAATTTTGCAGGGATAATATAAAAATTCATATAAACTAAAGAAAGCCTTGTATATCGGAATTTCAGTAGTTCTTAACAAACATTTGAAGAAACCAAGTTTGAGGGGCATACATTTTCACAACTTTCGAAGAACTTAGAAAGGTATTAAATAACTAATTATATGATCTAAGGATAGTAAAGTATGTACACTGAGGTGTTTCCGTTTTCCAAAAAGACATATTTATTAATTTACAAGATATGTAAATATCTTTCCTGCATGATTTCACTATCTTTCTATATGTATCTTGATAAATCATTATTGCACAAAATGATATCCGACTGTTTGAAAAACAAATTTTACAAACGTACTAAGCGAATACTAAGATAAATATTCTAAAATATTAGACATTCTGTATGGACATTCTATATAGACACACATTCTACGTCTTTCTATTCTTTAACTCTCAATTTTGTCTCTATTCTTTAACTGAATTTCGACTTTTCAATATTTTTTATGATGTTCTATTCTGTTTTGTACTATAGGAAATACTACAACAAGATTTGGGGCAAGAGCCAATTATACTTTTAAAAGACTTGGACTTTGAAATTTTGAAGGCCATGGTCGAATTCATGTATTGCGGCGAAACTACGATATCTCATCAGCATTTATCATCGTTGCACACGGCGGCACAAATTTTTAAGGTACGCAATGATTGTTTTAATCAGTGAAATAATATTTTACAATTATTTTAGTATGCCAAGTTAATATCATCGTTATTCTCTTTCCAGGTTAAAGAATTGGTATCTGTGATCGATACTATTGTTGATTCCAAGAACATTTTGAATGATTTTGAAAGTTGCCTAAAACAGCAAAGAGGAGATTGTAGTTTAAAAGTTGCAAACAATTCGCACACAGAGGATGATTACGTCTGTGTTAGATGTGATAAGCTAAGCATGGACGAGAATACGACGGTCTGTGCAAGTAGCAATAATAACGATATAAGCTCAAATAAGAATCAATCTTTAGAGAACGACATGATCGAAGGCACCGAGCACGATTTAGAACACACTTTGTACGAAGAATCGAGCGCTATCGATGCCAGCAAGAGAGATGCGATGGATACATTGTTCTCAACGTCTGATGTAAATATAAGTATACAAAGCGACACTGCTACCAATACCGTACTTACACCCGTAGGTATGGTAAACGAAGTACAAACCAGGTGCACAAACAGCAATAGAGACAAAGCTTGCTGTCATAGTCTCGATTTCAAACCCATCTTGTACGAGCAATGCTGTGATTTTTCCTGCGACGTTAACGAAAACGATCAAACTTCTACACTGTCGCAATCTTGCCTTCCACAAGTCGAAAACGACTTGGAGCGCTGTTCCGAGAGTAGCACAGATGTTCCTAGCACGGTAGGAAAATGCGTCAAGGTTTATACGCCCAAACGACGTAGATCCATTGACGAAGTTCGCAATAAGCTTGTACATACGCAATGCAATTTAGTGCCAACTCCGCCGCACTCTACGGATTCCATAGATTTACTAGACGAGCCGTCCGCTAATGATGTACCAGTTACTCTGTTGACTTCCTTAGATATGGAAAGCGCCGAATATATCTTAAGCTTGAGTACAGAAAGCATACAATCGATAGTAGGTGGTACTATAAGCGATCAACATACGGTAATCGGATGTAGAGGAATAAATGTGGAACGAGATGCCGCTAAGGAGCGACTAAATTTCCCAACAAGTGACACGGATTGCGCGAAACCGGTTCTAAGACGTAGCACGCGACTGAGTCAACAAGAGAGCGACGAGGCTGCGAGTCTTTCCTCGGGAAGCTCCTCGGGAACCGAGAAACCGTTCAAAAAAGGTAATTCCCCCAACAGAACGGAATCTTACGCGAGAACGAAACGCAAGAGGAAGGAGGATCGTAAAGTGCCGGATCACAGCGCAATCGCGAGCGCAGTGCAATCCAGCAAAAAGAGCTCCAACAGCAAGAAGACTAATTCGAAATTGATAGTAAGAAAGAGTAACAAATCCGCATGTACAGTTGCCGCTAATAAGGAAAGAGAAGAACCGAAGTCGAAAACGCATAGTAGATTTAAGACCGAAAATACGGAGAGATTGATGACGGCGGAACATCCCACCGCTTACCACTCCAATGTATGCAAGTGCATAAGTCGCGCTTTGTGGGGCGATATGTCTGATACGTTAGATTATTGGGAGAACGAGATGGATCTGCTCGCGTATCCGTCCAACACCGAGATTCCCTTCGCCGTCGGCTTGCTACCCTTGCGGACCGCTTTGGAAAAGATGCAGGCAACGCCGGATTATCAACCGCGCAAAACGCGTTCGTCAGTCGCGCCGATGAAGCAAGATGCAGGTAATAATCTAAAACGAAAGTACTGCACACCGTTCGACGCTGTGGTACCGTCGAAAAAGCAAAACGGCAATAACAATGACGAGAGCCCGAACACCGTGTGTCACATAGAGATACGGACAGCACCGTCGCAATGCGTAAAAAATCGTAAACGATTCCTTCCGGATTCGATTACGAGCCTGCCAGCAAATGAACCGGCGTCGCAAATGGCGAGCAATAACGTGGGTTAGAAATTTACTTGCAATAAAACTGTTAGCTCAAGTATGCCGTATCGTAATCTTGAATAGCGTTAAAGATCATGAAAAGGCAGCGAAATACCAGCGTCAGATTCTCCTGTTTTTAAGCTTAACTGGTGCGAGAATAATTAAGAATAATAACTTATTTTCCTCGCCATTTAGAATCCATTCGTATAACATTTGAATATCTCGCAATTTGTACAATGATAAATGATCTTAATTTAAATGTAAATAGGAATATTTTTACGTACGTTTTTGCACGAACTCTTGCAGCCACATAATTATATTATACCTTGCAAATAATTGTACTTCTCTTAAGCCATTCATATATCGTAGGTAATTTCATATTTTTGATAACGTTAATTTAATTGTAATTTAACTTTAAATACTATTTGCAATTGTGTAGAGAGAAATAGAAATGTTAATAATCCTGTTATATTTTCAACAATGTTTAAAATAAGCACTGTCCGTTCTCGTTTTGTATATTCGTAGCAAGTGCAAGAACAAATTGTACGCATGGTTAAATTTTACCTATTTAGCACAATTGTTTTTAATCAAATTCAAATGTAATATTTTTCTCATCGCGCACATGATTTGATCACACTTGATTACATAAGAGTAAATATGATTATTTGTGCTTGAAAACGTCTGAAATTTATTTTAAGCAATACAAAATGATTATGCGTGAAAAACGATCTATTTTTATAAATCTTTGTTTTTTAATTATACACATTTGTGGAAATAGCTCTGTAGAACAATTTTAAGACTTTGTACCTTAAAGAGTATATATAGCAGCAATAACATTTTAATAAAAACTTCGTGAGTCATATTAGCGTATAACTTAACATAAATTTAGAAAGTAAATAGAAAGCAATTTGTAACAGAATTTAGCAAATATTGTGATGATAATAATTTATTTGTCGTTTCAATATCGACAGAGTGTATTTCTCTCTTTCTTCTTTTTTTACTTAAAAAGCATCTTTTAACTTAGAATAGATAATATATGGTGCAACTAACTCAATATAAAGATGTGTGCTAAAAACGGAGACGAAGTCCTGTGTATTTAAGAATCACGTTGTAAAATTGTGCGTTTTTAACGTACAATGTACTCTTTCAACGCAATTTATCAAGTGTCGTAACTTAGAATCGTGCATCTATTTGGATTTTGTACATTTAGCTACAGTATTGTTAGGATTAAAACAGTCGCTGCTCAATATAAAAGGATTGTTCCACGTAATAACAATCATTAATGTTTAATATAACTAAATATATTTGAATATAGATATGGTTGTACATACAATATACATCAATATTATGTATACACACACGTATATATACATATATATATTTTTCCACAATAAATGTTTTCGACAGAATTTGCAGTTTTCATAGTGTTGCCAGTGTTATATCTCATATAACTGAATCATTTATTTGCAAAAGGAATGTAAAAGGTTTATATATGAATATATTTCTAATTATACTTTTTCCGTCTAAATATTATACAATCTTGTGGTTCAAGATGAAAATATCAAGCGTCTTCTTTTCATTCTTTGAGATCCAACAGGCTGAATGCGTTGTAGGATGTAAAAAAAATATTTTAGTAATTATCTCTCGTATACAGGTAAATGTACCAATGCCGGGACACTTAAGACCTATGTCTGGACACCTTTATTATTTTAGTTTTTAAATAAATATAACGCGAATTAAAAAATCAAAGATAAAAATATAATACAAGAAAAATATTTTTATGTTTGGTTCTTTGATTTTAATTCTCGTTATAACTTATTTAAGGACTAAAGCGATAAAAATGTATACGTGTCCAGGCATTGATACATTTATCTTATACAACCGTCTAATTGATCGATTAAAATGTGTGTTAAGCCGAAGTGTTAGGGCTGAAGGAGGCTGAACGTGAATAGCAAGGTAACATTGCGCGCAGGAGGAAAGACAGAGATTGAAGAAAGTAACACGGCAGCTTCTATTTATAGCTGCGTAATTTGATTGGCCGCACAAATACGACGACACGCGTGTAATCCATGCGCGACTAGGCAACGATCTCCATTAGCGTGCACATATTTGCTTATTTCTCAGGTCAATCGTCGCCACATCACATCGGTGCGGTCAGGGCTCCGATACCTGCCTGGTTGCGCGTGTGAGGAAAAATTGGCCTCGTGAATGAACGCGGATATATATATACGGGGACTCCTCGATCCGCGCGTCCACCTCGAAATACGACCACGCGTATTTTTGATGTCGGAAGAAAAGAGAGCACAGTTCACACATAAGAACCAAATATGAAAATAAGTTTGACTTTTATAAAGAGCGATCTCTTTTTCTCGAGAATAACGGCGAGGATGTTTGGGAAATTTGTTTCTGTGTAAAAAAAACTCGACCCATATGTGGAGGGGTGAAAAGTATAGTGGTGTAAGTCAAATATTTTTAAAAATTTGACTTACACCACTGTGGTTTTTACCCTTCCATGTAATAATTACATTTGAAGAGACGTAAAATTGATAGAGCTATTAGACATTAGACGATCGGCAAATCATTGTGTGAATAAAGTTAGCCCTTTTTTTTGAAAATTACATTTTTTTAAATTGTTTCAGACTGTTTTAATTTTCTACCATATTGTTCTAAATCAATTATTTCACTTCAAACGGTTCATTAATTAAACGAAAAAACCGTTTTTTTTTTTAGTTGGCCCCCCTTTCGTTTCTAGTCACGTGATCGCTTAATTGTCTCCTTCGCGCATATCCGATTTAAGCTCCTGATTATGGTATGCGCATGGCGCGTATAAATAACATCCCCTAGAACCAGCGTGCTAACTATTCGAGTAATGACCGCGTAATAATTAAGCTCGTTAACCGGGAAGATTTTGGTCTAACGAACCGCGCGAGCTCGCTCGAAATCCGATCGCGGTGTCGTCGCTTTCCGCAAACGCGCGATTTCTTCGCGAGGAGCCGCGGTTGATTGGAAGAAGACTCTCGAGGGGGATTAGGGATCCGATTCACGTAAAGTCGTTTCGCGAACAACGCGCGCTTCATTTAGCTCTGTCGCCGCAATAGGAAATTGTGAACTCCTTCATTTTGTCGAGAATCGCGTCTCAGCCGTTCGATCGCCGGTAAATAATGCACTTTCCACGCAACAAATGGCGCAAGCTTGCGGAACAATATATCACTTTATCAGGATTTCGCAACGGCAAGTCCAAACACTTGCACTGCACTGTTCTGTAGAATTGGGGACCGCTACGAAGTTATTTAAATGTAAAAAACGTGACAGAAGATTTTTTTCTTTGTAGCAGCGCCACGTTACACTTTCTGCACTTAAAATCAAACGGATATGTATAGGCTGCATGTAGTCCATTTGATGCTACAAATTGATGCTCTGAAGCGTTCTTCTTCTTCTTCTTTTTTCATTAAAAGAAAAGAGAAGAATGGTTTAAAAGCATTTGTAGTGTTAAGTGGACTGCAGTCGTAGTTAGACGTCGGAGAGAAAAAAAACGAAAGACGAACTGTAAAAGTACAAACATAAACATCTTGACAAACGAGATACTACTTCGTTATTTGTAACTTAGTTACACTATATTGTACTTTCTGCACTTGAAGTGAAATCAATGTATAATTAAATATTGAAGAGAAAAAGAGGAAAGTGAAAGATACAACCCAGACAGCACAATGTCCAAAATCGGGTTAAAAAGACGTCTTAATGACGTCTTTAAGACATCTTATGTCGGGATTTTGGACATTGTGCTGTTTAGGAAAATGTTCAAAGAAGAAACCGATTGTCCCGCGTTATCTAACGGGATGCTCCATCGGCCGAGGCGTCTGTATCTCACGCTCGCGATAATTTCAGGCACAACAGCCTTTACAAAGTGGCAAAATAAACCGGATAACTAAATTTGGTAAATCAGATCAGAGATGATGCGACAGGCGACAGTGCGACGATCAAATCGGACCGGATCGTTTTCAATGTCAAACGGGAACGTCGTGGCTGCTCAGCGCCGGAAAGGCGGACGCGACAGCGCAGCCACGGTGCAATCAATGAGCGCATATTGATCTCAACCTTTTGCCGGTGTCCAACACCCGCAGCGTGGCGGATCGCCACCAGCGGCGTGGCGCGTATCGCGCCGGGATCTTCCGGGAGGCTCGACGAGGGACTCGAGGGAGCCGTGCGACAAGCGTTCTGTTCCGAAGTCGAAAGCTCGGACTGGAGTCGGAGCGCGAGTCAAACGAACGAAGGTTGTCAGTTGTCACACGAGCGAGTTGGCTCCGGCTCCGCTTTTCCTCCCCTCCGGATTCTCGCGCGACGAGCGACGAGACGAAAATTTCCGACACGCGCGCGCGTCCGAGCATCGAGAGATGCGAGCGTGGGTTTCTCTGCAATGGTATGCTTTTTTACCTGGAAACGATACGCGCGGTGTAAAACGCGATAAGATTGCGCTTCTAACTCAATACTCAATATTGACAGAAATTTGAGAGAATTCGAGTTTTGCTTGCGTCGGTATACGTCTCGCGGCTACGCGGCTGCGTTATTTTTCTCGCGCAAAATCTATGAGATTTCGCAAACGGAATATTTTTACTTTGCGGAATGTTTAACATATTTGTTAGATGAGCCGTATATGAATAAATTGAATGAAAGGCAGGTTAATTTGCGCGTATAATGCGCAATAAAATTATAATATTGTTGACTCTAATTCCAGCTTTCTTAAGAAATAATTGAGAAATAATGAATTCCTAATTAGGACGAACAAAAATGTGAAAGGTGTTTTTTTTCCGGTAAACGTCGATTAATCGACTCTTTTAAAACAACGAATGCGCGATCGCATATGTTGGTAATTTTAGAACTCCGATTGCTTCGTCAATAACGCATTCGAATACGTGGGATTCAAATGAAATTCGAAATTAGAGTTTGATCGTAAAAAGACTCGATTTAGGAAACACAATCACGTGTTATTATTATACATGTATAATACATTCATGAATATTGTGTAATTAAATTGTCACATAATGTAATCTGCATTTTTACGCAATTTTTCTTTGTAAGGGATATAATTACTCAGGAGAAAATATCAGGAATAATTAAATCGTAAGCTTACAATAATTTTCATTTAGAATAATTTAATTAAAGAAGCTTTCTAATTAATATAGTTTTTATTATAGTATTTCACACGGCGCTTCTAAATCTATCAATTAGAGAAAAGTAACAATTAATATATATCGTCTATCGCCTTTAATTATAGCGTTATATTGAAGATATCTGAGTTTTTTTCTAATAAAATAAACTCCCGATCGGTTGTTTTTTGCACTTATACTTTTTCAATATAAGGTATCGTCAAAATGGTGACTGCCACGCAAGTTAAATGTTGCGATGACCATGAAGCAATTATAATAATCCATATACAGTTTTATGTATTAAAATTAAATGTAAGATTAGTCCTCAGGATTACTGGAAAAAAACATCTGGTTCGTTCATTTTCCACCAAAAAATACTGGTTGAATCTACTAGAATCTAATTGTAAGGTATCGTTGCTTACACAGAGTATTCCAGAAATTTTACCAATTTAGCATGCATTTTTAACAAAAGATACAATATAGTCATTCGTCTTCCGCTAATCGATTTAGTAGTAGTGAGTTTTGTAGACTTTCATTAAAAAATAAGTTATCAAGCATCTGTAGGAAGTCTCGAAACGGCAAAATTATTTCTAGTAGAGAACGCGGCGACGCTACGGACGCTACGTTAACGCAAGCGGCCATATTTGAACGCGGCGAAGTGTGGCGCGCTCCGTCGAGGATTCGACGCGACGGCCGACAGGTGGCGCGCGGCGGTCTGCGCCGAACGTCCGGATTGGCCGCTTCGAAAGTAGTGCCAGACATGTGTCTCGTTTCCCGCCTCCGATGCGGCTTGTGTTGTGTTGCGTGTGGGGGAGCGGGAACGGACGAGCGGTGAGGGGGGAGGGGGGCGGTGGGAGAGGAGAGAAGCGAAGAGGAGAGGAGGACACCGCCACACAAGTCCGGCGAGTCGGCGGCGAGCGTAGAGACACGTAGAGACGCGGCGCGTAAGGGCTTGCGGACCGGAATCGAACCGCGGGTGTCGAAGGTGGTTTCTCGTTTCTCTCTTCACTGCTGGTGTCCTCCTGAAGCACGCCACACGGGAAACGCGTCGGACGCACCAGTCATCACGCACGTCAAAGCTGGGGCACGCCACGCACTGCAGCAACAGCAGCAGCAGCGACGATTGAGATCGGGTTGGCACAATTCGACGTCTCCGCGCAACTGCCCGGTGACCGAGCGAACGTGTTGGTTCTCGGCCGTGTCCGTCCGTCATATTATATTCCCGGCCCCGAGAGAGTGAGAGAGGAGCAAGGTTGCTGGCACACGTAGTTGGTGTTGCGACGCAGCGGGAGGAGGCGGCGGAGGAAGAGACGGACGGCGGCGGCGGTGGCGATACGTTGCGCGGTACGGAGCGGAGCGAGAACGAGCGGATCGGGGACTGCCGATTGCCGGCCATGGAGAAGCGGATAGAACTCGAGAAGCGGGGAAAGAAGCCCGGCGACGTAAGACAATCCTCAAATTTCTTGTACTCGCGCCTCGTCTCTAATCTTTATCTCTACCGCACCAATCTTTTCCTCTCCCTCCCCCGCGCGTTCTGTGTGTGCGTACGTGTGTCTCTCCGTGTCCCCCCCTGTGTTCGACGTGCGGCCCCGCGGACACTTTGCGTTTTCGCACGCGCCGCTTTATTACGCGGGTATAATGGACCAGCACAGCGTGCGTCACGAAATTTCAACCACGCGTCCTCGTCGTCGACGCATCGTCATTAACCGCCTTGGGAATCTCACGAATCTCGCGTTAAACCGCGGCGTTCGTCGTGCCCGCGAAAGAGAGAGAGGAGGAGGGAGAGAGAAAGACGGAATCGCCGCCGTGTTGCCTCGACGCTTCAGCGGCGACAACAACCACGCACTCGCTAATGTGGCACGCCGTTCTGGCCGCACACTTCCGTCTGTCTCTCTCTTTCTCTCTCTTTCTGTCACGCGCGCCCTTTCTCATTCTCGCGTTCGAACGAATTTCGTCTCGGGACAAAACGGCGACCGCGTGGCCGTCTCCCGTCTTCGGGCTCTCGTCGCCGATCGGGGGGGACGGCATATGCACGCACTGACGATGCATGGCCGCGAACGAGCAACGGGCATGGCATGGCGCACCGCGCCGCGCCGAGGAGAGAACTCGTCGTTCCCTCTCTCTTTTTCTCGCGCGCGCTTCCATTCGCCCGCTTTCTCTCTCTCTCTGCCTTCTCGCGCGAATAAAAAAAGAAACGTGGCTCTCGCGCTCCGCGTGCAGTTTCCTATCCGTATATCCCACGGACTACTCCATTTCTCCGTCTTCCCTGGCTTCTCTTCCTTCCTTCCTTCCCGCTTGATTTGCCTGCGCGCTCGCCTCGCGGCACGACTACGCTTCATTTCGCTTTGTTGCTGTCGGCAGCGTGTCGGCCAATCGCCCTCCCCGCCCGCGGAAGTGATCTCGCGACACGGACGATCGGATCGGAGTCGCGTCGCGTCGCGTCGCGTCCAAATTTCTCGGGTGACGCGCGACACGCGATCGCCCCGCCGAAATAAAATGGTACGAGGTTACGCTCGCGTGGCTACCGCTACCGTACGCAACCCGTTGCTCCTTCTCGTTGCGATCTTCGCACCCGTCCGTCCGTCCGCCCGTCCGCTCGCTCGCTCGCTCGCCCGTTTGTCCGCTCGCTTTCTTATCGCTGCGACGCGGGGAGAGAAAGAGATTTCGCTCCGAGTTACGTCGCGCGCGCGCGCGAGCGCGCACACCCACACACACACACACAGGCACGCGAGGACCTCGGAGTGGAGTTACCATTTTTCCGGTGGCGTGGAAAGCGGGAAGAGGCACGCGCGACACCGGCTTCTCCGGTGCGCGCTCCGCGTGATTAATGGTGGATTCTCACCAGCCCAGCGTCGTCGTCGTCGTCGTCGTGCGTCGGCCGACTTTACCCGCGGACAATTGATCGAGAGCTTGATTCTCCGCCTCCTTCCGGATGATAGCGTTGGTTGCAATATAAATGAAGATGAATCCGTTTCTCTCTCTCGCCGCGACTTTATTTTCGCGCTAATAGACGTCCACTTATTGCGCGACTTGATTTTTTCGTGATATAATCCGTATCGGTGTTGCGCGAACTACGCAGAATATACACGTCGAATGCAATTCTAATTTAAGATACATGTGTCATATACATACATGTGTATAATCAAGTAAATAAAATATGTGCCGATATACGGTCGGGCCGATCTTTTGTGCCTAATAATATTTCAATTAATTTATGTACATTTTTCGTTTTGCAAACCACGCGCCGTTATACTATCGGTCTTAGAACGCAGTCTGGAGCTGAAGCTAGAATAGTACAAATCACATAAATTGATAGTCAATTTAACAACACCGAAACTAATACGCATCTTTAGAAACCGCAAAGAATACGTTGCGAAAAATATCCATCCGTTTGAATCTGGACCTCCTCATTATCGGTCAGGCGTCTTCACCAGTTCGACCACTGAAGCATATTATATACATATACATATATGTAGCTGCAATTATTTATGTATAGCATATACATATACATATATACATATATGTAGCTGCAATTATTTATATATAACATATACACACATAATTACAGCTCTACGTGAATCCCCCTTCCGGCGTTTACCGACACCCATGTATTTGATACACATATGCGAGCGGGTTGACACCCAAATCCGGGATTGATTCGAAACTAATTTTCCGTGACAATGAGCATATTTAGGAATAAACGCGTAAACATGAATGCGTGTCTCGTAATATTTTTTTTTTTTTAATGAGTTTTTTACGAGCGCACGGGCGTGTAAAATTATCGATAAATCTTGCATAAGTGCAAAATTATGCACTCGAATGAATATCAATCTCAGGATGCCCCCGGGAATGAGTCACTTCGCGCTATTGTGTGAAAAATCGTGCCGTGATTCCAGTTTAATTTGTATCGCTTGTTCTTGCTCGGGAATCAATCTGCTTAGATCGGTACACCGAATTACGTAACTTAACGCGTGCATATATGTCCGTGGTTTAAATACGCGAAACGAAAATCGTTGCGACGTCACGGGGAGAGAGAGAGTGAGAGAGAGAGAGCTAATTAAATCAAATCAGTCCGCGGGATAATATATTTTTAGAACAAATTTGCAAAACGGTATCAATCCGTTTGAATGTCCATTGGGCTATTCGTGTACACGAATGTTAACGGTAATAAAATGTAATTGAGAGACAGGGTCCGATGCGGTGCCATAAATGTGATTAGAGCTAATCAGCGAAATACTTCGATAATGGATTTTCCACGGATTTCACTGCGGACGAAACGCGTCAAATTCTCCATTAATGGTTACGACCCGTGTCCATTAATTAAACGTGACTCTATGCAAAGAACCGAATAATAATCGTCCCCCCCCCCCCCCCTCGAGTTTTGTGACAGATATGTGTGATACGTCCGTTAAATGGCAATTAGTAGAGAGGACTTGTAAAATTTTGGAGTATTTCTCGTGCAACTGATATTATAAAAATCAAATTAATATATACAAGAGAATCGTCTAATCGAGAATGATTTAGATATTTAGAAATTTAGATGTACCATGCGTTTCTCAAGTAAACTTGTCGAAATTTCACTTTAATGAATCGAACTTGAACCGTTATTTCGTCGAATATCTCTATGATTATACATGTAATTACCGTTTCCATAAAAATCCTCTTTGAACTTTATATTGATCGAATATCTTAAACATGGTCTATATAGATATTTCGAAAAAAATGGAACTTGTAACAACTTTGAACATGTTTATAATTACATTTAAATTTAAGAATGCAAGAAAACGCTGTATACACAGATGATATAAATTATAAATAATTCCTTTGAGATTGAAAGTCTATATTTCCTTAATTAAAAGAATGGTATTTTTAGTAAAACTAAGATTTTTAGTTAAATCTTTTTTAATGCCAATTAATTTAGAATTTCTATATTTTTTGTATGCTTTTTTTTATTTCTTATGTTCTTAGACACGAAATTCCATGTTTAAAATGTAATATTTCACAGCACGTCTCTTATAAGAGTTTTTTTTTTTGAAATGGGTTCTTCTTGGTTATAATAAAGCAAAAGTATGATAGTGCTTAGTGATAATAATCGTTCCCGAGGATCTTTGCGATTTGCGACATCGATCGGTATAAGAAGGCCGCAACGAGGTGTTTCCTTTCCCGAGCGAGGGCCAAATCTTGACGCGAAGCTTTGCAAACGTTCTCAACGGTAGTTCGATATATCGAAACCTACTAACGGTGTTTCGTACTTTTGGTCAATCCGAAAATATCGACGTAAGCATCGCCTCGGCGACTTAACGCCTGACATTTTGTCATCGATGCGTGTTAAAGTGCAAAGGACTTTACACTTGCTGACGCAGTTCGCGGAGAAAGTTCCTGAAAAAGGCGTCTTGTTTTCTATATCAAAAAACGTAGATGCTGATAAAATCAAACAATTAGCAACCCAAGTAATTTTGTCGCTAGACAGAACTGCCTTGGGTTGCTATTAATTTCTTGTTGCACTTCCTGTAGATTGTGTCCTCCCTTTCTCTCTCGCAATATCGCGATAGAGATCGTTACGTGATGCGCGTGAAGAATTAACGCGACATATGTTTACCCGATTAATGTATTTTTTAGCATCGAGGCGTCGCCACCGATCCTCGTCCGCGCGAAAAAGCGTGTTGCGCGCGCGTCGCCAGCGGCCGCGTTATGTAAATGAAACGGCAAGGCGCGCGCGCCGCCATAAACGAGGCGCGTGCACGCGGCAATCTGGAAGTCGCCATTGCACCGCGCCGCGCGGCGTGGCGTCGCGTCGGGACGCCTTCACCGCCGCGTCGCGACGTCAACTCGTCGTCGATCCGCGCGTCCCGTCACACCTCGCGTTTCCACGCGTGCATGCGTGCGCGCACGCGCACGCGTGAGCACGAATCACCGCCGTGCGCACCGGATCGCGTTTCGTGACGCGTCGCCAATCGCCGCGCCGCCATCTTGGACGAGTCCACTTTGCCGGCTGATCGCCGCCAACCGGCCGCCGCGCCGCGCCGTGCCGAGTGGCACGCGCGCGCACGCCTCGCGCGCGGCCACGGCGAACGAATTTTTTCACCGTGGCGACGCGACGTAACGTAAACGTCACGTCGCATCGCCGAGCCGAATCGAGCTGCCTGCTCAGCCGATGTCAGCCGGCATCGCCCGACTTTCTCAGGTGCATCGCCGCGTCCGCGTCCGCGTATGTCTCTGTATGTATGTACGCGCGTAGGCGTTCGCAGAGCCGTAGCTAGGGTGTGGCGTCAGAAGAGCAGGGCTTCGGCGTGACGCGACGCAATTTTGGAAATAAAATTTTCTCGCGCGCGCTCCCTTCGTAAAAATTATTCTACCTGTTCGTCTTAACGCGTGAATTTATGCGTATATTCGAAACGTACTCCGATAATCGTCTAAATTCATGTGTTAAAGCATTAATAAGCTGTGCAGCAGTATAGCCACATGGACATTCCGCGTAGTTATTTCTATATTAAAACGAGAGAACGGGGGCAAATCTCGTCTTAATATCTTTACTGTTATACATCATCCTCGTTCCTAAATGCATAAGTTAAACAGATGTCGAGTCTATACGTGCTAGTTACAATCGCGAGCAGCTCTTTATACATATTTACGACTCTGAAACTTCACCCACTCCGCGTTGACCACCCGCGTCGCATTTGCAATGCATCTTGGACGCAACAGTGCCGTACTACGGTCCGGGACTACTCCGGAGCACACATGGCGGCTTCGATATTTTCCAAGTTGAGAAGGTTCAGGTCGATCCTTACGACGCGGTCAAAGGATGCATGCTCTGCATTTAAATTTGTTATAACGTCGCGCGGATTTAGAAATGAATATAGAAGGGCGTATCTTGTGGGCGAATTTGTGGGCGTAAGACGAGAATATCGTTCTTCGGCGATAATAATAAAACCCGCACAGTTGCGTAATCGTGCGATAACGAAGCGTATCCGTCTTTGTTACGGAAACCACGCGACAATTTCGCATTTCAAAACACCGAAGAATCCTATACAGCGGCGTAACGTGCGCGCCTTCCTGGTTGCCTTGATCCGTGACTGTCATTGATCCGCTCCTATGACACCTCGTGACGTTACCACTACGATCGGTGCAACACGGGGGTAATATATAACCAACCTGCCGGCCGATTGGTCGCGTGGAGTACGCAAGATATTTAGGCGAGGAGTATAGGATGAAAAAATTATATGTGTAACTCGATCAAAAATTAAATCCAATAAACGCAACACGTTGTGTGTTTGCTCATGATGTTTAACTTTGGTTTCGTGAAAAAATTTGCGCGTTAAAATTATTATATATAAAATTATATATATAAATGATATTATAATAAAATTATTATATAAATTATTATATAGATTTATCTCTCAAGAATACAATTTTTTTTCAATGCGTATAAATATATGCTTTATTATTTCTTTGGGTATTGATAGTGTAATGTCGGTCTTTAATAGTGTCGTCAATCATTTTTGATTGGTAATAGAGATCAATTATATTAATTTCCAATAGATAAATGTATAATAGATAAGATAAAAGCTAAAGTTTTTGATATTTCTTAGCATAGAAATAATGACTTAATATATGAATACAAAATATACATATACATATAATTTGTTTTCTATATTTCTTTATTTATCGAACATGAATCAATCTCATCTACAGATTATCGCTCATCAATGCAAAATGCGATATATCAATCTACATATCAACGTGATCTACATCATTATAGAAATAATTGTACTAAATGTATCGGAATATCACGGAGTGTCTCAGTAGTTCAAGTTCTAACACTATATTCGTGACAGAACATCGGCGCGATCGCGATGTAAAAAGGACACCGTATAAACATCGCGCGTAATGGCGGCATTAGCGAGATCGATGTGAGCGGCCAATCAAAAATCTACTCCGGCGCACCTAATATACGGCGCCATGGAACGCCTGGGCGGCTGAACCACTTTTTTTTTTAAATTTGAAAGACGAAACTCCGATTGGCCGTTCGCTAATAGAAACGAGTGCACCGCCAACGGAGGTGTTACACCTTGCCTCATTATATCATGGACGCGATAACGTAATATGGAAGTATCGATACTTCCGGCATCGAGGCATCCGGTATCGATGATGACCACCCCTCGTCCCCCCCCCCCTTCCCTCCTTTAACCAACCCCCCCCCTCGTACTCGTCGCGTGCCGCAGTCCGCCGTGCTTGTCGCTCGCCGGCTTTTCCGACGCCGCTAAACAAGACGCGGCATGCACTCCGCTTACCGTCACGCCGCTCCACCGCCCCCTCCCCCTTCCCCCCTTCACTCTGTCCACCGTCCTTCATCTCCCTTCCCGGCTCTGCTCCGCGCCTTCTCTGTCCTCCTATCCGGTCCCGCTCTCTCTCACCCTCTGGCCTTTCTCTTTCTCCGATCAATAAAATAGCCCATCTCCCGCGAAAGCTTATCGCTCGTTTGAATTTTAGCGGAGGACGACTTTTTCGACCGCGAGCGCCCGTCACCGCGCGACCCGTCTGTCCGCAACCTGAGCGAGAAACTCGCGCGATTCCCGCGGCCGCGCGAACCCGACTATGATCTCGATTCGAGTACGATTTCACGAATCGATGATCGACACTCGCTTCAAAATGCGGTCATTCGCAAATTCAGAAATATTAACATGATTATTCTCGGTTTCAGTTATATTTTAAAGAAAACAGTAATATTTGGCATATATTCTATACATACTCTACACACGCGATTTCTTTTCTTCGAAATTGATATTAATTAAAAATCGCACGATGCAATATAATTTTTTAAGCACGCTGCGATTTAGCTAATATTGCATGGAAACCGCTTCTGATATTTATGTGGACTTTCTTTGTTTGTTAGTCACTCGTAAATAATCATATGATTCACGTTCATGTTACAGATCAAAGAACTTGTTCTTGATAATTGCCGGAGTACGCAAATTGTGGGCCTGACAAATGAATTCAGCGCTCTGGAATCATTAAGTCTTATCAACGTGGGTCTTACCAGTCTAAAAGGCTTCCCAAAATTGTCCAGTCTTAAAAAGGTATACATTTGCTTATCACAAAGTAGCTATTCAAGATACTTGTTAGATTATCATAAAAATAATATAAATATTAAAGTATTCTTTAATATAAATATATTAAAAAATGAGCGATTTCGAAAAAAAATAATTGTCTTTATCGCACAAATAAGTTTTTTATTGCAAGTACAAATTATCTTTGTTTTGTGCAGTTGGAATTAAGCGACAATCGGATTTCGGGCGGTTTAAATCTGCTTGATTCGAGCCCGAAGTTGACTCATCTGAATCTGAGTGGAAACAAGATCAAAGATCTCGATACGCTACAGCCATTGGTAAGTTCTCGCGCTTGTTACAGAAAACTGAAATCTATCTATCCGATCTATCGCCAAGTAAAATCACTAACACGAAGGTCTTCCGTATTCCAGAAAGAGTTCAAGAACCTGAAGAGTCTGGATCTGTTCAACAATGAAGTGACAAATATGGATAATTACAGGGAGAAAGTCTTCAATCTTATTCCCAGTCTACGATATCTTGACGGGTATGAAATTATACTGAGTTTGCTTTGTTACTTTGTTTATATTTTCTCAAAGCGGCTAATTATGTTTTGTTTGTGAATTCAGATATGATGCCGATGATTGCGAGGTCGACAGTGAAGGGGAGGATGATGAAGTCAATGGAAATGAAGATGGAGAAGGAGGTGGCAATGAAGAAGACAGTGAAGAAGGTTGGTTGAGAGTGTAATCTAATAATTGTAACAAAAAATTCGATTAATAAGATGTTTATTAATAATAAAAAAAATAGTTATATCAATATGCATATTAAACATATCGAAATATAGTTTCAGATGAAGAAGACGAGGAGTTCCTGGATGACGACCCAGGATTAGATATCGTCTACAAGGATAAGATTGTGAGTTTAGTTCATTTCACATTTAAGTAATTCATAAAGTTAAACCGAAAGCGTGTTAACACGAGAATGCTTGATGGAATGTCCATCGAGATTTTTCGCTCATTAAACATTTGTTATCCATAATATAATAATAATAATATGTAGGTGTTATTGGTTGTTTATATAGCATATTAAATGATCTAACTTTATTTAATGAAATAGGTTATAATATAAAATTAAAAAAAATATATATCGGTTACAGGACAGTGACGAGGAGGATTATATGGGCGAAGAAGAAGAGGAAGATGATGATGAGGATAACGAAGACGACGAGCAGGAGGAAGAAGAAGGTATAATCCTCAGATATTTATATTATTTTTATTGCTTATTTTTATATCTAGAATTTTAAAACCTAATAATAGTTTAAACGAATATGCAGTATAAATATTGAAATGTCGTAATTATTTTAACGAAATCTTTTTTATTCGCTTATCGCTTATCGCACACATGTTATAAGCGAACCTATTTCTATAATGGAACCAATTATGTTTTGTGCAGAAGAATCTCCTGTTCGAGGAAAGAAAAGAAAAATTGACGAAGTAGGAGGAGAGAATTTGAACGCTTAAGATGGAGAGGGCTGTCTCTGGTACTGTTGAATGAGTGTAAAATTCATATAAATAATAACAATAATTGCGATGCCGAGTGAACAGCTGGGAATCAAACTAATCGACCGACCAATGACAGACTACAGTTAGTGATATGAATTTATCAGTAAATCATTGACTGCGAGGAAATTGTCTGTGTAACAACAAAAGATTTATCGTATGATAGAAGCGGAATGTGAATGAAAAGCGCAGTGAGGAAAACTGGGAAAGAAACGGATAATGATGGCATAAAAATAGGGCTGCATTCCAGCTGGACACAGCACAGTTTTAGTTATACTAACGATATTTTATATAGAGTATATAGAGTTAGAGTATTAGTGGTGTTGCATAGAGTGGGAAGAAGATCGAGGGGAAAAAGCGCGAGAGAAAGGGAAAAGGAGAGGGCGAAAGTGAGAGCATGAGAGAGCCGAGAGAGTGCGCGTGTGTGTATGCGCGTGCGAAAGAGACGGAAATAGATCGCGGGAGGTAGCGGGGTTTTACACTTGAAGGAGCATCTTGTCTGTTAGCTCCTGTCGGCCAAAGGCTGGTCACGCTGGAATGCGGTCATCGTTAATCAGTAAATAAGGTTACATAAGTTACATTTTAAATACATTATTATTGTACCGTGAATAAGTATAGAGTAAATGAGGAACAACTTTTGTACAGGTTTACACCATACATCGAGGTGCATTATATGCCTCTGTGATTTTTGGGACAGAAAATAAAGAGAGAAATATATGTTACTCGTATACGTGTAAACGTATATATCCGACAAGGGATGGTGGGATGGGGATTAAGGAAGAGTACGTTAAAACAGAAAACAAAAAAAAATACAAGACGGTTGCTGCGAACGATGGCAAATTGTGCGCGTTCTTCGCAAGAACGTTTTACATTACGGAGATATCCGATATCAACGAGTGACGGATAGCGAATAGAAAATAATATCGTAATATTTATATTATTGTTTTCAATCGCGTGATTCCGATAGCAGAGGAGCGAGAGTTAGGACCGTTTATATCCAGATAACGTGGAACACGAAATTCTCCGATACACCTCGACGTGTCGAGCGTTGCACATAACGCGGACCCGGTGTTATCCTAACTTAGACTTTTTTCTAGTAAGTTTTAAGTTCCAGATATTCTATGTACAACGGCGATCGACCGCCCGACGCATGGCTGTTAGGATTATTGTTATTTACTCTCGGGCATTGCGTAAATGTTGTGCTCTAATATAATGTAAAAGGATCAATTTGATTATTACGATTTATGATATTCTCCTACTTCTGAAAATAATTGTACAGCTATAACTTGATTTTTTCTTTTATATATATATATATATATATATATATATATATATACATATACACACACATATATATATATAAGGCATCACAGATTTATCGTGTTTTCTTTTACCTATATATTCTATAATAATTAGGCTAATACTTTTTTAACAAAAAAAAGAGAAACAGTAAATATCAAGAAACATCTTTGTTTTGTTTTGAGTAAGTCTTTTTTTATTGGAAATTTAATATCATTTACTTCTCCAAGTATTTGATAATGAAAATTAAAGAGCTTATGCCGTATATTGAACTTCTATCGAGACGAAAAACTGAAATATATATGTGATATATTATTTCTAATAAAAGAAGATACGATAATTCTAGGACATCCTGTGTATGCCAAAGCATAAACAGTAAATTATGTTGATTGATTTCTATGTAACATAATGTAACTGCAGTAGGCCTCAGTCTTTGGAACGAATTACTAAGAGGAAACAAAAGTTAACATCGTGTGCGTCAAAACGATTGACCTTTAATTTCTGTCTCTGAAGTTACCATTGCGCTGATACATTTCGTGATGAATAAAGAAGTGCGAAGTTGAAAGAGGTAATGGAGATTCATCAATATATTATGATTAACATTAAATTACAAGTATGATTTTAAGAAACAAAATATTTACACTTGCGCTTTCGCACTTTTGAATTGTACTAAAGTCAGAAACGCAAAATTAGATATAGGGCAAGAACAAAAAAAAACACGTGAAAAAGAGACAGTCGCAAGATAAAGAGACTCGCAGAATGGATCAGACAGTTAATGATGCGACGAGTAGACTTGGACAGGGATAACCAATTAACTACGTAATCGTGTGAGAATGGATGGAAGTACAATGGCGAGTGAGAATGCGAAAAGAGAGAAAGAGAGAGAGGATCGGTTTTATAAGAAAAAAAAGAATGAAAAAAATAATTATGCGGTAGTATCGAGAGGACCTGGCGCCTCCTTGTCGCCAGTTTGGTTATGGCCTTATCCAATTTTTCCAAGACTAAAAGCAAATTTATATTAGGTACAATGAGTATATGTGAACATGTACAGGTCCAAATCTGTAAATTTCCAATCTGCAATTTGTAATTGCGGCTCGCGCGGAAGCGTTTATTAAGCGTTAAATTATAAATATAATTAAGAATTTAAATTATAAATAATTAAAAAAACATTCCGCGCGCCCCGCGACACACGTGTACACGTACATACACATACACACATACGCATACTCTCAATATACACACACATAACACTTTTGTCAATTGCGATTTTGGATAGACCATTTAAGTAAGAGGGGAAAAAAAAGAAGAAAATTTGTCTATCACCTTCTATTATCAGATATATTACATCTGTGTACTGTCTGTCTGTTCCGTTGTTAAAATGGATTTTTATCATAACGTTTGTTTATTTCGAGCAATCCTCATCACACAAAATAAGAAAAGATAATTTATTAATAAAACCATTTACAAATCAACGATGGTGTATCCGATATGTATTGACAAGTGAACCTAGCTTTTGCACTTGTTTTTTTTATTGCGCTTTTGGCGTTATCAATACGAATATTTTTGGTTTTTTTTTTTCATTCTCGCTTATAAGTTATTTTTAGATAATTTTACAGAAGATATCCTTTATATATTTATTCTAACTCGCCGATCATTTACTATGAGCTTTAGTCTCGCTACATCGGATATACATAGATATAAGTGAAAATATATATAATTGAAGATATTTTAAGGAAAATCATTTCGTAATTGATCTGTAATTTATTTCCGATTATACTTTATTGATCCTAAATTTGCCTATGTATATTCTATAAAGTACGTATGACATAGATTTTCTCGCGTAGACTTATTATTTCTAGTTATATTCCTTGAAACATAGAAATCTAGATCAAACAAATTTCCCATTTCTTGTCTCTAATTAATCTTTCGTTTTGCAGATACGAGCGTCCAGTTGAAAGTACAACATACGTGGCTAGAATTAAATTAAGACTTGAAACAAAAGATTTCAAATTATTGAACAATTTTGAATTATTAAACAGATTTCGATGAATTGCAGATCGAGCTATACCAGCTAACTCGAAATACAAATATTTTTGAGTTCGAAATTCAAGAGCGAAGCTAATCGATCATTTAAACTCTAAAAAAATTCCAGCGGAAATAATATTCGCTGCCAACAGCGCTGTTCCATTTTAGTTAAATTTGACAATTCGAAGGTGAATATATTTCAACGAAATTACAGTTAGATATTTAAAGTCGAACGAGATTTTCGATCGCGATAGAAAATTCTAATCTGTGCGGGTTTCGAAACGGCTGCGCGCCAACATGGCCGGCGCGCGCCGCCCGGCATGGCCGCCGACGCCTGCGCAACGCGCAACGGTCACGCGCGACACGCGCACCAATATGGCCGCCGGCGGTGGCGGTGGCGGTGGCGCACGAGTTCGCGGCTTCGCGTTCGTCCGGTCCGTGCGCGCGCCGTCGCAGTCGTCGCACTCAGTGAGATTCAGTCCCTCTCCGCGCTTCGGTACGAGCGTTTCGGTCTCGCGAGTTGGTGTGCCGCTGCCTCCCCCCTCCTGCGCAAAGCTGCGTGCCGTCGACAAGTTCAGAGAATTTCTAAGTGCTTCGTCTCTCCTGCCTCCGGGACTCCGGCACTCCGCAACCGACGCTACGGGAGCATCATGGCCGAGAGCAAGGGCGCGTTAATCGCGAAGACAGTGCAAAAACACGCGGGCAGAGCGAAAGAAAAGGTAAGTGCACGTATCTCTGTGTCTCTCTTTCTCACACGCTGTATTTCTCTCCCTCTCTCTCGCTGTCGGTCTTTTCGGACAGGTCGCTCTCCTCGAGCACTCGCGTTCGCAGACGACGTGCGACATGTCCTCGCGAGACGGAAATTAACGCGAGAACTCGCGAGCGACCGGGCTTGACCATAACCTCCGTGACGTGTGTCTGCCGACCGAACGCCGCCGACGACGCGGACGGTCGGGGTTAACGTTTCGCGTCAGCGCCGCGTGACAGTTGCATCGCGCCTCGCGATTAAATCGCGGTTGTCTCCCGTTCGAATTGGGCGACAATCGCTGTGCGGAAGGTAGAACCGCGGTGTCTCTTTACTCTTTATGAAAAATTCGTGCGATCTGTGAGAGAGAGATAAGAACGTACGTCAATCTGGTACAGTCGCGTTTTCGCTCGCTCGACTCACGACACGGAAATGTGCTTCCGCGAGGTTTCCTCGATGCGACGCGACATGTCAATCGGATATTCTGTCATTTGCATATAGAATCGCATGCGACGCCGCTGCAATACTGATGAGCGATTTTGTAAATCACTCGTCGATAGATAAAAATAAAAGAGCCCGATGGAAGAACAGCGAACGACGAGTTTCGGTTAGCGGCGAAAAAAAAATAGCAACGACCTCGTCCTAGCGAGTATTTACGCCGATTTCGTATTTTGCTCCGTATAGTCCGCGAAATAGTGCGGAGCAAAACATTCGGCGTCCCTCGGAAGCGCGACTTGCGTCGCGCTTTTTTCGCCGGCGGCGCCTCGCAATGTCGCGCGCGAGAAGCTTTTACGTAATCGGTAAACACGTTCGCGCGCAGTAACTCTGTAGCGGTATTCGTTCGAAATGATAATTACGCGACTCCCACCCGTGTCCGGTCCGGGCCCCGAGACGTAGGAAACTGCGCGTGCACAGGTGCATCCTGACTGCGCGTCAGTGCCGCGCTTATCGGCGGCGATCGCGTGTTTCGAACTCGCGGGGCGCATGATCTACGATTTTTTGTCGAAGACTTGCCTCCTCAAGATGCCACGTGTACCCACTGACTAATCCTCCGACGATCCTTGAAGCTTTATATCCGGGAAATGACTGACTCTTGACGTTAATATTTCGAATATTGACGCTGTTGACGTTGAAATTAACCGGGAGTTTTTAAGTCGAACGAAAGAAAACGATTTTGTATATCCGCAGTTTTTTTTTAACTTAAAACCCGCTTCAAACAATCTACAACTTCGGATTTCAGGATGGAAAATTCTATTTATGATTTTATTTTAACCGTGCATTTTGATGTATATATGTATTTTGATAGATTTTATACACGTGCGTAATTTAAATTTTTTCAAATGTCTTTCGTATTGCAAACACAAAATAAAATTATAAATAGAATTCCATTAATTTTGCACGTGATTTGTAGGTCGTCTAAAATGAGCTCACGCGGTCGCGAAGCACAAGATCCACGTCGCATGATTTATTTTAACTGCAGGATTTTCGTTAAACTTAAACGATAAATATTGCTTTTCCAAGGCGCCATGTGCATCCACCGAGTAATTCTTCTCGGCGATAGTTTCTTATCCAGGAAGCTTCGTATCCAGAAAGTACTCCACTTTAATATCACGAATATCATGAATTATATGAAACTTTTTTGATCCTTAAAGCCCACTTTAGACGGTCTGTAATTTCAGATTTCGGGATAGAATTCTATTTATAATTTTACACATTTTGGTACGTGACATATAAAATTATAAATAGAATTTTATCTTGATGCGTTATTTTAATATGTACTCTATATATGTATGTAATTTTGATTTTTAAAACATTTTTTATATTACATGAAATTAAACGATATGTACATAAAATGACATAATATGTATAAAATTAATAGAATTTTCCGAGTCATCTAAATTGGGTTTAATGCAATTGTCCGATATTCTGTATTTAAAATAATCCTCTATTTTTGACGGTTTCAGAGAATCCTCTATAATCTCTATATCTCAGAATTTAAACTACAATCTGTTCTACGTGAAAAATTTATTAATACCATAGCAAGCAAGAAAAGAGAGAGGGAGAAAGAACAAATTATTATTTCAGGAATTGAAGATAAAGTTATCTCGTATCCCTGACAATTTTCATTTAATCCCCACGTCACAGAACGACATCGGTTATCCTTGATCCGAAATGAGGCTGATATGACAGCTATTAGATATAGGATAGAATGTTACATTATGCCGAGTCTGTGCGACGAATAGATCGCCCGCGATTAGATATAAATGCACGCGCATTGCATTTACGGGCAAAACGAAACCCTCCGACATTCTCACGAGTCACTCGAGATGAGACGCTTATTTACGTGGTTCACTTTTGATGATTCATTCTAGCGGCAAGCAGAGAATCTCTCTTGCATTTTTTTTTTCACGCGTGTGCCGTTCAACGATCGTATTTGTGGAAACGTCATTTACGCGATCCACTTTTCACTTTGCACTACGTTGCATTCGCAACGATTGTTCGAAGCGGAGAGAAAAGTCGAGAATTTCTTTACCTCTTTCTCATATTCATCCCGAACAATCGTTTCTATTGTACCTACAATATTATTTGCGCCAAATATTCTTTTATTTTAGCCCATTTATCCGCGATCGTTGCTCCAAGAACCGCTCTAAAGTTTTTCTCCGTGCCGATTTACTTCCATTTGAAGGCTATAAATTACCCATTTCAAATGACCTCAAATATCGAACGGCATTTTAGAGAAAAATGTTTCAGATAAAAGTTACAACTCTGTCATTTAAAATGAGACACTGCATATTTATACGCGGTTAATTTTTTTATTATGTACTTTCATAAATCAAGCCATTTGTAATATTGATAGATATATATACGTTTTTAAAAACGTAACTTTATTTAACTGTCCGAAAAATGTTCACATCTGTCAAAGTACGCATTTTAACAAATTCGCTAGAATCCGTAAGAATCGCGATTCGCAGTCTGGGAATCGCCGATACGAATTAAAGCTACGGAAATTTGTCTATGCGAGAGAGACTTCTCAAGGTGTATTATAGATCGCGCTTCGCGATGGTGCATACGTCCGTGCATCGCCGGCAACCTGCGCTTTGGATGCGATCGGGGACCATTGATGCATCGCATGGGCATTGCGTAAGCGACTCCTCCGTGTCACGCAATTCGCGTGCGCGCCATCGGTGCGCGGACTTCTCGGTATTACGAATAACAAACGTTCGCAATTTTTTCTCTCTCACGCCTTTAAAATCGTAGACTTCCCGGTTGCTCCGCGCACGACGAACGGAAAAGGAAGATATTAACATAAAGAAATAACGAATAGATGACTTGAGCGCAATTTTGCGGAGAAAGCGCCATTTGGCGAGAAAAACCCGTTTATTTTCAATAAGAAAATGAGTTGCAAAATCGACAAAGCTTATCGATTTCTTTATCTAATTATTAGCAATATTTTTTTGCAAATAATAGTTAATTTGTATTCCGGACCGACACGAGGGGGCGGAAAGAAAGAGAACTGCCTCGGCTTATCTGGTAAAACCGGTCTAAAGGTAGTTATAGCTATGCTAAGTCTGTTATTCTCCTGCCTAAATCGAGAACGGGGTTTGAGTTCGAGACACAGATAAAGACTCGAGAACTCGAATTTTTCCCGAAACGTTTCACAGAAACACGATTACTTTTGAAGAATATCCCTTTCAATGTTCCGCGACGCAACGCCTAATCTTATTTCGGTATTAGTGCGCTATTAGGTCTCAAATTTATATAGCGTAAAAATTTGACAGGTAAAAAAATGTAGCTAAATTTAATCGTAAAATATGGATAACTAATATTTTTTGCAGCGAGAGCTATAGTTTAGCAATAGTAGCAAAACCTTTTGTTCTCGCAAAAAATGTTACTCTCATTGCAAAAAATGTTAGTTATCCATATATTACGACTATTTTAGCTATAGTAGCTAATCTTTTTTTCCGTGTACGAACGATAAGGAACATTAACTACGTTGATAATAGTCTTATCTGCTGAGAGTGACTAAAAGCAATAACCAATATCTTTCGCGCAACACAGAACAGAAAAGTGCGTTTACACAGTATTTATAGCACAGGTAAAGAGAAACAACACGTATAGGAGACACGTTTGTTCGGCGACTTTTTAGCGGCGCGACGCATTAAACGATCCAACATAATTGCGTTACGGTTGCGTAAGTCCGGGATCGTTATCGCACACCTTTTTAATTAAATCGATTTTAATAATGTAGCGTATATCTCGTTCTTTTAGTACTATAGAATTTCTTCAATAATCTTAATGAATTATCTCTCGAACGAATGATCGTTCCTCACACGTAGGATAATCGGTAGAGCAATCACTGCAGCGTTTTACAACGGCGAATTCGCTGCTCACGAAGCGAATAATACTTATTAGCTCGTTTACACCGATATGCCTTTCGTAAATTACAATTTTTACAACTTCATATTATTCGCGGGCATACGCTTGATAAATATCGCTTGATAAAATAGTCATCGGCATAACTTTCTCACAATTTGTTAGCTACGAAAGGGAATGAATGTTCCGTCGAAAACACTTGGAGGATTACGTCGCACCGCCAGAAGCAGCGAAAGGATTAAGTGCAGCCGGGCATTTTTTCGCGGAACTATTATACACGCGCATTGCAAAGTAGGAAGAGGTAACACCGTAGATTCGATCGCACGTATCGGCGCTCGCATGCCAAGGGTTCAGCTGACACTCGAGGCGAAGAAAGTTAGTGTGGGCTGAGGATCATTAAGGGGCCTTCACACGACCGATAATCAGCAGCTCGTGTATCGATACTGTCGCTAATTGTGCACACGAGCGATAGACTCCTAGCTGCAAAATTATTGATACCGCGCTATAATGGTATTTATAATGGCAACAAAATGTTAAGAGATATAATAATAATACTGGCACTTTCCTCCCGATTTCCTCGACTCGCTCCCGCTGTAATAT